GGATGAATCTACTGTAGAATATATATGACATGTTCGTATGGAAGAATTCTCCAGCTGTTCCAGCAGACAGTAGTACACCTACGAACGGAGCATGCATATATTGGTCTACTCGAGATTTTTATTTAGTCGGCGAAACGCACGTTCCAGCAGCTTGTCATGTCTGCTCTATCTGTGCTCGCTGTATGCTTGGCTTGGCATGCTGCACCTGCATCTGCATGCATGCCCCGGCCTCTCCGTCAGGACTCAGGACCCAGGATGGATGTGATACCTCACCTGCCAGGGTGCATAACTGCATATATGTCTGACACTAATCAATTATGTCCGAATCACTGTGGAGGATTGGAGTATCTAATTACCCTTGTTTGGAACTTGACCGGTTTAGCTGTATTTGGTTTTTACTCCCTGAGTCCAGGAATAAACCAACTTCCGCCTGAGTTGTTCAAAATCAAACAACCTTAGGTTTAAAATAAACTTTTTAGACAAAAATATCAACATCTACGAGTCGGGGGTATTCCAAAGGTGTAACATAGACACTATAAAAATGTATTTTTTTATTTGTCTAATGACACTAATTTAGTGTCATAAATACATATATTTTTCTCTACATAAAGCTAGTCAAATTTAAGATATAGTTACATTAACTTATAAAACAACTTTAGGGCCTGTCTGGAATAAAGGAACTGAAAACAGAGGAATGAAAAAAACCACAGGAATATGATTGGTGTGTAGTGGCAAAACAGAGGAAATGAAAAACGCAGGAAATAGAAGGAAGAGGTGTTTGAAATACAGGAATTCGTAACAAGGGAATCGCAAAATATATGAACGATAAAGATCATTATTAGTGTCTAACGATAATATATTAATTGCATAGTTTGTCTATATTTCTCCTGCATGTGGGACCATTGGTGCCCATGGACTCAAACCATGATGGTTCATTGTTCAATACAGTTGTAGTCCACTCACAGGTCTCTTTTCCTCTTCCTGTTGCTATAGCGCGGATAAGCTCCACTCTTTTCTCTTCGTTAGCACAAAATCAACGACAGAGAGTGAGTTGTTACATCGGTCTTCGTGAAGGAAGAAAATCCACGAGAACTGATTGGATTCTTTTTTTTTCCTGTGTTTTGTTCATGCAAGGGAGCTGTTCCTTAGGAATTGAAGTTGCAATTCCTTTGTTCCAAACGGCAAACTGTAAAGCCTTTTCACAGGAATAAATTCCTCTATATTTCCTTTGAAAATCCTTTAATTCAAACAGAGCCTTATAAAAGATAATAGTTTATTTCAGGACAGAGGAAACATCGTTTATCTACTATAGGTACTACACGAAATAGCGGTCGTGTAGTTGCTGTAGCATTAAATAAATAGCGTACCAGAATTTATTAGTGGCAGCTATAGATCGCTTTCCAGACCGATCGATAGTTTGTGACGGTTGCGACCGATTTAGTATATTAGTAATTACTAGCTATATCACACTATCTCGCTTGTTAAATTAATTTGTCGTTCTTTTATTGTTTTTGTTGTAAAACATATGAACTCTATCCTAGAAGAAAAGAAGAAGTATAAATCCTAATCCTAATCCGTTTGTACGTGGGCTCTTACCAAACTCTAGCAGGACTATATATACATGGGAGCTCTATATTGTAATGATCAATATTCAGAGAAATAAAGAACATTCTCTCTATCTTGTGTCTATTTATTCTTCTACTTTTACCTACTATGTTCATCGTGAGAGACGGAGATGGGAAGGTTCTAACCGCTGACAACATGTTTTATAACAGTTTTATTTATCAATTTATTAAATGTATGTGTAAGTTATGTTTAAATCCAATTGTTATTAGTTAACTATGGTATTGAAATAACTTTTATGATCGGATAAAGTCATACTCTCTCTCTCTCTCTCTCTCTCTCTGTGTGTGTGTCTATATATATATATATATATATATATATATATATAAAAGAATAGAGTGTCATAGAAAAATACACATGCTTTTGTATTTCTTAAACACGTCACTATTAGAGCTTAGCACTTGCTATGGAGTATCGGGTACTTCCTTGGGACAAAATTTCACGCTTAGCTTTGTATGGTCAATGTTATATATTTTTTAGAATTGCATAGTACGACGTCCACAACACACACACGCACACTCACGCCTAATAATAACTTCTTTTAAGAATATAGTGTATTCTTAAAATCTTCCAAGTTTATGAGTTTTAGCAAGTATTTTCAAGATGATTCTACTTATTCTGTGTATTTTAAAAGTTATTAATAATGTTTGCATTTTTTTAAAAGTTAAACCAAATCTTATCCTAAAGTATGATAGGTTCATTTAAACCAACCGTCATGAAATTGTGTCTATTTAGGTTTCTATGACCCGTGGTAGCCCCTCGTGTCGAGGTGAACCCACTTGTGTTATATGGTCTCTTTGGTAGGGTACGTGCTTCTTAGAAAACGGTGAAAACCCATGTTTCGGTGGTTTTGGCTTCTGGCAAAAAAAAAAAAAAAGAGGCTTTGGCTTCACCACTTTTTGGCTTAGTTTTGACTTCAGAAACAACTCTTGTATATGCTCTATAACAAAAGTTCTGCCAAAGAAAAACCTTAATCCGATTAGCTAGATCGCGTGTTGTAGACGTCAGACCTACGTCATTTATTCATTCATTTCCCAATATCTATGAATGGTAGTCGGAGGTTGTTCGCAGGCTTCTTGTCTTGATCTCCCGTTGTGGCATGCACTAGTGCAGTAGTGTTTTGCCATGGCAGCCCGGCATGCATGCCCGCTTGCCCTTGGAACGAGGGAACACCAGCAGGAACGTACACTAGTAGTAGTGGCGTACGGAGTAGTATCTGCTGAAGTGCTGATCGATCGTTCATCGAAATCAACATAATCGGCCGCCATACGTAGCATATGGGTACCGGCGCGCCGCGTCGTCCGACCACGCAGCAGTAGTAGCTAGCCTAGGTTACTAGGTCGATTGATTGACCGACAAGCGAGACGACTGACTCTCGATCCATCTCGGGCCGGGGCGCCGGCCGGCACGGGCAGAGCGGCCGTGATCGATCGTCGTCGTTGTCGGCAGGCAAACGTCGTCGTTGTCCGCATCGTCCTGACTCTCTGGATGACGGTGAGGGCGTCGATCGGCGTAGGCGACGACGGTGCTGCGGCCGCGCGCGCGTGTATTACTGACTCGGCCGTCCGATTTCTGACGACATACAGACAGGCCGACGCGGCGGCGGCGGCAAGGGCGTGCGTGCATGCATGCAGTGGCATCGATCGGTCGATCCCATCCACCCGTGCACGGTTTTTGTCAACGCGATTTGGCATCCAATGCTGGCAATGGTGCAGTGCCCACGGACCAGGGGCATCTCCAGTAGCCACTAGCCACCGACCCGCCGCGACGGCAACGGCGACGGCGGCATGTAGTAGACATACGTGTAGGATGAGAAGATGGGGGAGCGAATAACGTTTCTTCCGTATTTTAATCTGCTTTTCTTTATCGGATTTAAATCAGAGTGAATTGGATGTGGATTTTTTGTGTGTCGGAACTGGTATAGAGATGGAGCATAATCGAATCGGAGAAGGATTTAAATAGTTGAGTGATATGTGTGTGTATGTAGAGAATTATATGCTTGTCATCAAGCATTGATTTATGAGTCAAAAACCAACAACAAATAGTAGATAATAATCTTACATGCATTCCGTGTTGTGGCTATCATACCGATAGTATTAACACTTAACAAGGTATATTCACTCATAAAGGATAAGTTATTAGCCAATAAGTAATATCAGCTAGCAAATTCTCAGTTCAAAATTTAGAATATCAAACAACCACATCACAAAATAAGAGTTCTCAACTAACATTTTTTTAATTCCTAATATAAATTCCTCTTGGTTTTAGTATAGGAAGAGAAACTATTAGATATCCTTAAACATCGGATAATTCGTAGAATTAGCAAATAAACTATATCCGTCGGATTTTTTTATTCCATATCCTATCCAATGTTTGCACACAATCAGATTTGGATTATCCATTCTTCATCGTAACAAAATTACGAATTCGGATCGAATCCAATGGAAGAGTTATCCACGTCACTATCACACCTAGGTCCGTGGATGGTTTCTGCTCTCCGTCGCCTCGCGCGCGGTGCAGCCCAGCAGAATTGATAGGCGTGGACGAGGTCCCTGCCCCAGGCCTCGATGTTGTGCGTGGGCTGCGTCCAGGCCCAAAACCACCTAGAAGGCTACAAGACGAAAGCCCGTTTTCCTCTTTTCCCCTGCTCCGATTCAGAAAGATTTCCGGCTCCGTCAAGAAAGGCATAATACCCTTCCCCTCCCCCGACCTCGGTCAACCTAAGCTCATCGGCCGGCGAACACACAAAAGCTTCTCAATGCAAGAAGCCCGGCCGGCCAGAACACACACAGCAGCCACTAGTGACAAGTCACACTCCACAGCAGCAGGAGTAGGAGCATCTCTTCTCTTGAGCACAAAGCAAGCTGAAGATGCAGACACGTCGCACGTTGCCCGTCCCGCGACGGCCCGGCCGGACGTACTAGCATTTTCCCTAGCGGCAAGCAAGCATAGATACCAAGATTAAACAACAAGCTAACAAAGACGACACATCATCACTCCCTCCGTGCATGGCCACTGCACTGCACTGCATGCACCAGTCGTCGCAACAACTAACCCCGACGTCGTGATGCCTTCTCTTAGTTTTTTTCTTCGGAAAGCGAAAGCGGAGACGCAGAGCATACATGCATGGCATGAGCATCATCATCCGCCACCGCCACCTCCACCGCCGCCGCGGCCGATCCATCCCTTTTGCGGTTTCACCTGCGCCGCCCGGCTTTTGTAGTTTCCCCGACGCTTTGGAGATCCATGCATGGCCGATCCACACCGCTGTTCCCCCAGCTGCTCCATTAGCCTCGCGAAAGCCACACATATAACGTCCCCCACTGCTGCCTGCTGCTGCGCAGGGAGTCAGGGACAGGGCAGCGCCGGCGGCAGCTATGGCGCGCAGCAAGGACAGAGTGCCGCTCGTCAGTGTCGGCTTCGCGGTGGCGTCGCTGCTTCTCCTACTCTGCGCCACTCGGTGCGGTAAGTACGTGTTGCACTTCACTCACAGTGTCACACGCACGACCAGCGGCGAATCATATAAGGATTAAAGAAGCAACGATCGATCCTCCTCCTCATCACAAATTCACAATGCTGGATCAGTAGCCAGGAGTAATAACTAAACGACGGGTTTTTGTTCGTGCATGCATGGAGCAGAAGCGAGGGCCATGGCGGCGAGGCGACTGGGGAGCAGCAGCAGCAGCCCGCTGCTGAACGCGCTGTTCAAGCTCAACTTCATCCGGACGGTGGAGCCACCGCGCCGGCTGCCCACTCCGACCGCCGACGCGGCCGACGCCGCGAGCCTCGCCGCGGGCGACACCAACTCGCCGTTCTGCGTCAACCCACCGGACGCGCCGTCGTCCACGACGCCTCCGTCCACGTCGTCCACGCCCTTCACGCCTTCGTTCCCGGGCCAGGCGCCGCCGCTGCCGCCGATCACCCCCGTTCCGCCGTCCTTCGAGCCCAGCCCGCCGGAGAACGGCGCCCCGGGTGGAGGCCAGGGACAGGGTGGCGGCGAAGGACAGGGAGGCGGTCAAGGCCAGGGCGGAGGTCAAGCCAAGGGTGGAGGTGGTGGAGATCAAGGCCAGGGAGGAGGTCAAGGCCAGGGGGGCGGAGCTCAAGGCCAGGAAGGCCCACCGGCATCCACGATACCGAACTCGCCGCCGCAGGTGGGTCCGAGCACGCCGTTCGGATCGGTGCCGCCGAGCCCCATCGTCGTGGTGCCGAACCCGCCGGGATTCGGCCCTGGTCCCGGCTCCGGCTCCGGCTCAGGCGGCGGCGGCGGCGGCGGCCCGTTCCAGCCGCCGATCGTGTACCCACCTCCGCTGGCGCCGCCGGGCGCCGGGCAGACGCTGTGGTGCGTGGCCAAGCCCACGGTGCCGGACCCCATCATCCAGGAGGCCATGGACTACGCGTGCGGCTCCGGCGCCGAGTGCGACTCCATCCTGCCCAGCGGCGCGTGCTACCGCCCCAACACCGTGCTCGCGCACGCCTCCTTCGCGTTCAACAGCTACTGGCAGCAGGCCAAGGCGAACGGCGGCACCTGCGACTTCGGCGGCACCGCCACCATTGTCACCAGAGACCCAAGTAAGCATCATCATCAGCTCCCTTACCTTCAATGCGATCATGCCATGGTGGATTTGTCTGCTTTGACTTTTGCTTCATGTCAATCTTGGTCGAACTCGAAGGTGTTGTTTGGCCTTTACTGATCACTGTCAATCTTGCTCAGTGATGCTGTTGTCTGTAGATTGTAGACAACTCTGCTTCTGACTGAACTAGGACAGTGCTCTGAGGCTCCGACTGAACTGAACTTTTATCTTTGTTTAGTACGGAGTATTAAGCATATATTCCAGATTTTAAGGAATCAAATTGTTTCCTTTGAAATGCCTTCGTTCAAGCCGGCATCTTACCTGCTGCTGCTGTTTTATCCCCTAAAAAAATGCCTTCATATTTTTGTTACTTGCATGATAAACCGGACCTTACTGCATTTTCCTCGTAATTTACTTGAGTTGGATTGTAACCGACTAACCGTATTATTCATTGTTTCATCTCTGCAGGCTACGAGAAGTGCAAATTTGAGCTTCTGTGAGGAGGGAGGGTACGTAGATACGCAGGAGAACAGACTGCAGATGTGCAAATTTTCCCCCAAGTTCATTCGGGGTTATCATTCCTTTTGCTTCTAGGCCACATCACTGCAGATTTTGTAACTAGCTCTTCTTCACTAGTATGGTTTTGAATTTTGTAAGACCAATACTGTGCAAAGGTGAAACTAAAGGTGATTCCTTGACATATTTGATATACAAGCTCTTACTCAGACTGCTGCTTGCCATCTTTTCACTTTCAGCTTTTTCGCCCAATTATTTTAAGTCAAATATGCTAACTTGATGCTTACGCCTACTCTGGGAATCTTTACTCTGATGTTAAGCTGTAGTAGGATTTTGTTCTCTATGGTCAAGCTGACTTCTTTCGACACTAAGCGTGTGTTTGATTTGGAGGCAAGTTGAGAAGAACTAATAAAGCATCTGAAGTGCAGAAGTGTGACTAGCAGGATACAGATGACAAGAAAACCTCAGTTGCGACGCACAGCATAATCCTTATCATAAATTCGTAATAGGGTAAATAAGAGCCCAATAAGACAGATTAATATTTATTTATGGGTAAAAGAAAGAAAGACTATGGATAGGGAGCGGATTTTAGTCAGAATATTGCAAATTCTCGACAAAATCTTGCGAAAGAGAGCGAATAACTCTCACTAATACCTTGATCCACATACAACAAAACTGTACCTTCACCGATCTACATCAGCCCAGTTACAAACTCACAAATATCTTAAGCTTGCTGCTGTTGTATCTGATCCATATTAAATGGATAAATTACATGAGATCCTCACTCTCTTCATGAACTAGACAAAAACGAACTAGTACTATTTTGGACTCTGAGTGGCTCGTTGATAACAGCATTCACTGCACTTACCATTTCCTTTGGGGAACTAAATCCATCAGTCTGAGAGTAGAACAAGTGAACTATCTTACACATCTTCCAGAAGAGCTCCTTGCATGGCCTAGGAACAGGGCTTTCTTTCCTGAGAACCAATCTTAGCAACTCTCTCCTAGAGACGTCTATGGACTTCTGGATTGCCTTTTTAGCGGCTTCTATGGACATAGAACCACCACTGTGGAGGACAAATAGAGAAACACTATTCAGCTTCCCCTGGTTGCCTTCCCTCTGCAGACATGGACGAACAATTTTGTAAGAATCATCCAGTTGCAAACTTAAAGTGAGAAAATGAGGAAAATTTTAAGAAGATATGCTTATCTAGTAGAAAATCATGACTTTTATGTGTAAAGGGGTTCTAATACCTCGAAACTTTGGCAGTCATTGAGGAGCCTCCCAGGAGTGCTCATTAGCCTAAATAATTTATCGTACTCTTCATCTTTGACAGCTTGCTCTAATACATCTTGCCCTACAAAATACAATGCTGGGAGCACAATTGGGCCCAGTGCAAATGAGACAACAGCATTTGTCATGTATTCTTCAACTGTTGGCACATATTGGCTTCTCTGCCATTCTGTCTCGACCATCATAGAACTCAACAAATCCAGCCACTGCAAATGTGCTCCAAGTTGTCAGTACTGAACATAACCAAATGCAAGATTATTGGGACACACATCAGACTTACTATTTCTACTAGGTGGTTTGTAACATCACGGCCTTGTGCTGCAGAAGCCATTGCTCCAAGATGGTTCACTGTTGTATAAATAGCAGAAAATACTATTTTCACTTGCTCTGAGTAGAACTCAACTGCATGGTGCGCATGCCATCTATGAAAACCATCAGCCAAAAATGGGAGATTAATTAGGCATGCATAAGCGATCAGCGTTACTTCATAAAGAGTAGACATACTTCTCAACTAGTGCTACCAGGTTTTCTAATTCTTCTTTTGATCCCCCAACATCGAAGAAGTCATCAACCACAGTTGTGAGAACACCATTTTTTGCCCATGAAATGCGAGCGTCAGACAATTCAGAAGAAAATATGGTAGCAGCAGCAGACAGATAGCAGTATGTCAGTTTCTGCCGAGCAAATTGTAGCTGGTCCAGCTTGTTCTCCTTCACCCAACTGTTGCAACAAACTTAAGCAATTTACCTAAGGGAGAAAATTTAAAAGACAAGTATATGACATTTATATTACCTATCAAGATGCTGAAGTTCATCCTGGTAAACATATTGAGAGGAACTGAAATCTTCGACAGCCAAAGCTACAAATTCTTGATTGATACGAAAAGACCTGATACAACAAAGTGTAACATTGGTACTCAGCATCTAAACTACTCAAATTGGATGAGATGTGCTTCTGCAAAATTAGAATCTTACGAGGATTTTGTTGTTAGCATCAAAGGACCCCAAGCATCAAAATGTTCGATGTTTCGCTTGTGTTCTAGACGCTCCAGTGTAGCATAAAAGGGAAACTTAACAGCATACTCCATCTGAAATCAGAAAACACAGAGTTAAACATAAACTGAACTACCCAAGTGAAAATGAGAATTTCAAATTTTATGCAGCACCTCTCCAAAAATCAGGTCTTTTTGCACCCTACTAGAGCACAACTTATCCTTCAATAAGTTGCCAGACCAGGATCCTATGCCATCTAAGATCAAATCATCTTCTGATAAGTTGACTTTTGAAGCCTTGTACAATTCCAGTAGGGATTTTGTATCATTTAAATATCCTTGTAGTGAATCATGAAAATTGGAAGGTCCAGCAATATGAGACAGCTCATCTGATGTAAATTAGCGCATTAGTTTGACCAAAGTCAAATAAAAAACTAATGTTGTCTGGAATTCCAGACTTGTGCGTTCTGAAGTACCTGAGGAAACATCGTAACCATTCATCCTCAAAAGGCGAAATGCCATTGCACATGTTGCTATGTCCATCATGATTTCCTCATCTTTCTGTAACCAGCAACTGCAAGCTGGATATAGTCAAGTATATAAGTTACTAAAGGAAGATATAAAATTTTCAAACAAGACAATTACCTGTATGCCATGTCCAGGATGCTTTCTATGTCACTGACAAAGTGCTGAGAAATTCCCATTTTTTCAAGTGCATCCACCATTGAAAGCTGACAATGTATTTTTAAAGGATACAATGCTGGTACTGCAAAAGCCTAATGCCATTAGGTATTAACCAATAGTCCAAATGCTAGATGATTATGAGAAGGAATAGTACGGCAACCCACCTGCACTGCCAAATTCACTGACAAGCAAATTTAGGTATTGAAGGGCTTGATCATTGTATTTGTGGATTAATGCAACAGCAGTTGTGGAAGGAGAGCTGAACAATGATCCATTCTTCCTCTGGAACTTCATAGCTTCATCCCAGTCCAGCATGTTTCCTAATCCTTCTGCGATATAAGACATATATGCTTTTCTTCCAGAAGAACTGTCCACAGCCTGTCTAAATTAAATCAACTATCAGGACATTCAGTACATTATTCACAAGCTCATGTCAAATTATGAATTAATCAAAAGACAATATGAACAACATCAGGAGCACCCCTTTCCAGCAAAATTATGGCCATCTGACAAATTAATGCAAACTCTTTTAATGTTTCAAAAACAAGGAAAATAATTACGAGTGAATTTCTGTTCATGCGTTAAATCCATATATGCCAATAACTCTATAAAACAAGTCTTCCCTGATATGCAAACACAAAAGAAATACAAGATGAACTTTCATGCCAGGATAAGTCATCGACAAACCTTTTCAATTCCATCTCCCGGAGGTGAAGAATCCCACAGACATCAGTTTGTCTTATAGGAATTTCTAAACCCATATCAATGGCGAGGCTAAGTAAACCAGGAAAAGTGATGTTGAAACCTATAGGAGCAGTGACCTGCTCGTCCATAGCAACAGAGAAATTTCTCCCAATGAAATGCAGTCCTGTTCAAAACATAAAAGGAAAAAAGGCATCTGGTCAGCATCAATTTTCACTGAAATAGAAATACCTTCAAATCTCTCTCAGGCCCTGTTTGGTTGGGTTTTTGGCTTTGGCTTTTGGCCCCAAAAGCCAAAAGCCCAACCAAAGGGGCTGCTTTTGGAGGGTACTTTTTCAGAAGCAGCTGCTTTTCCGTAGTTCATTTTTGAAAGCTGGGTTGACCCTGCTTTTGGTTTTTGGCTTTCTGCTTTTCGAAATTGGTGGAATAAAAAGCTCTTCCATAGTTGTTTCAAGAGAGATAAAGATAAAATGTATATTTTATACTTATTTAACCAAACAGCTTTCAGCTTTTCTACAGCTCACAGCCTACAACAGCTTTTCCACAGCTCACAGCCCACAGCAGCTTTTTCCCACAGCCACAGCTCAACCAAACAGGGCCTCAATGAACCTCAATTTATACCTCTCCACATGTTCTCTCTGCCAACATTCCATCTCCTCAACGCAAGAACACATGCCAGCGTGGATAGGAGAACATCCTTGCTGATTGATGAGTCAGATTGGCTGACACCCCAAGATCCATCATCCTGCTGGTTCTGCAATATCCACTCAACACATTGTGGGAAGCAGGGAGTCTGATGAGAGCCCCGCATTGGCACCATAGAAACCCAGGCTGTGTCGTATGAAGAAGGTGGCAATTGGGGCCTCCGGAGCTGATTCCTTATTCTAGTCTTCAGTTCCTCCTTATGCTGCAATTTATTAGTATGCTAGTATTATTTCATAGAAACCCACGGCAAGTTGCACACTTACAATAATCAAACAATGAGGCCCGTACCTTGTTTGGCAGGCTTATGTTTTCTGCAACCAACCGCCTCTCGGCATATGCTGTTCGACGAAAGGAATCAGGCAGCAATAAGTACCAGGCATAAGAAGGTGAAGTAAAGTTCTGCCCTTAGCAACTTGCTAGAGTAAAAAAATCCTTTCTGGCTTGAACCAAACATAGCCGTCGAAGGCGACAGAAACCAAGATAAATATCACTTTTTCCTCAACTGTGTTACGCGACGGCATCGTCATGGTAGGATGCCAACGGATGGAACCAAGAAGACGGCGAGGACGTACCTCTAGCTACCCCGGAAAGAGATGCTCTGCCTCTGC